ACAAGCCCTGAAAGGTATGCGAGCATACGCAACTCAATATAGGTGATGTCAGTTGCGAAAAGCCTTGTTAAAAGAAAAAGTACACTGCGACAATATTAATCTTTCCAGTCAACTTAGATACGCATGATGTAAGAGATACTGGTCGATATGATGCGAGGCTCGCAAACTCCTTTCCGGACTTTAGGACTGGCACCTACCCATACTGTCTTCCAAACAACTGGGATCTCTCCCGTGCTCCAGACATGAACAAATATGTCCAAAAGGGCCCTTTTTTGCTCATGTGGCAGATTTGTCAGCATTTGATTGCTGATCAAATCGGGTCCCACGGCACAGCGTCTTCTTAATTTGCTAAGTGCCATTTTGAGCTCTTGGAAGGTGAATGACGTATACATCGTGTGAAGAAACGGGTGGCAAAGCAATCGCCGATACTGCTGATCTGCCAGATGTGTACACGTCTGCGAAATCCTCTGCAAGGGTTTGCAAATCTTTTCCTTGTTTCAAAGGAGTGCTTCGAATGGCATGTTTGAGCGGGTCTTCTTAGAAAGACTATTTATTACTACCCATATCCTTGTCAAGGGCGTAAACGTTGATAAACTGTCACAAAAAGTGGCCCATTGAATTCGTCCCTATTTTTTTTGGTATGGCGACGAATCTTTGCGTTTATGCCGTTATAATCGGTTTTGGCAGATGAATTTCCTTTTGTTCTCATTATTTTCCGCTCCGCTCGTCTCCGTGCTGCGCAGAGGTTCTTCAATTTCAAGTCAGAAGCAGGAAAGTGGTCGGACAGTTTCAGCAGCAAAGTTGCCGCTCGCTTGCTTTGCAACATATCTACGAACAGCTCACCAGTGAATTTGTCCAACGCTTCTCTGTAGGTGTTCCAGCATGTTACATTGCAGAATTGTCAACCACCAGTTAGAAATCATAAAGTATTGGTGAAGATGGGGGAATGGTCGCTGCCCATCCTGTCTAGAGCTGTAATCGATTATACCAGAAGGTCCGTGGAGTGAAGTACAAGGTCTATTGCACTCCATGAATCTGGTGGCCTAAAAATGTAGGTTTGCCATCGTTCGCCACACATAGGTCGGCATCATCCGCAGTTGCTAGAAGTTCCTTGCCTCGAAACTCTACACTCTTATCTCCTTAGAGTGGATGGTGTGCATTAAAATTACCACAGATTATTCGAGGAGCGGGACAACGAGTGAAAAGGTCCTTTAGGAAAGCCTCCATGGAGACCCTCTTTCGTGGGTTATGTACACATATACCACACTCAGTTTTCGGTTTCCCAGGCGCACTAGCACAGCAGCGGCTTCCAGTGAGTTGGAACAGATGTCTTGCACTGGTAAGGTGACGTGAGGCATTTCCCGCCTTATATATATCGTTGTGCTTCCATTTGTAAATGACGTTATGCTCGGGTGGCGGTGTCCGGCGTGTACTCTGGGAGCGTCCTTGCATTCGGGAGATCGGCTTCTGAGGGGGCTAGAATTGGTATTGGAATGTCGCGCAGGAAAAGGCTGAGTTCACACAGATGCTTTAGAAGACCGGCGCAGTTCCATTGCTATATTAAGGGCACTTTTGAAGGACGGATTAGACCGGGTGGGCGAGACATTGCCATTATTTTAATGTGTGTATGTGGAAGGCAGAGCAAAGTAATACTGACACTAGAGCCAGGACCGCTTCCAACATGTCCTTCTTTGAACTCGTAGGCATCTTAGCGACGTGTGAACGTAGTGCGGTGAACAGAGCGCGAATAACGTGCTCGAGGTTTTTGTGCTGTTTGCTTCCAGGTGGTACTTGAGGTGGGCTCAGTGCATCAGCATAGGTGCGCATAGCGGACTCCTTCATGATACATTTATCACCAGCATTGAGCACTTGCGTTGACTCAGTACCAGCTCTTATCGGATTTAGGCTGCGGAGTATTTCCTGCTTAGTCAATGACCAAACCACCACGTTGTGGCGCGCCGGACGTCTTTCTTTGTGAGCGATGGTTCGTTCACAGTCTTCGGGCCGAGGAGAAACGTCGTATTTATTCGCTGTGCAGCTGTTCGTGCTGGACTTGCTGGTCGCCGCCACAGTTTGCACACACAAGTTTTTCTTTACTTGTGCACGCCTCAAAGTCATTAGGCCTCCCACAGCGCTTACACCTCTGTTCCCCACGACAGTGTTTAGCAACATGTCCAAAACGCTGACATTTAAAACAGCGTGGTGGCGTCTCCACGTATAGTCTACAAGCTCGTGTCTGGTGAAGCCAAGTTTAATCTTTTCTGGGCGTTTCGAATTCTCTCTCTCTCGTACCAAACATTCTCTGGGCGCACTGACTCTGTGAGAACCACAGAGTCAGTGCGCCTTGATTCCCACTCGGACGATGAGGTTTGAACCCGTCGTATGATTCCTTCTTGCGTGGTATACTCCTTGAGGTCTCAGGTAGGTTAACGCTCTTCGTCCGAGTACCATCTTGGGACTCCTTTTAAAATGCATGTATTTTTCGTGTAGCTGTGTGGTACACTGGCAGATATGGCAAGGCCACAGATAGTGTTGGTCTCTAGAAGCATATTAGCTTGGTGTTCAGCGGAAAAATTGACCTTCATGCCCTTCCCGGGAGCAAGACGGAAGTCAACACGTCTGTCGCTGAATATTCGAGGCCACTCAATTCGTTGTGCAACTAAGTGTCCGTTTCCTAGGCATTACCATCGACACCAAGCTATTATGGCGACTTGCGGTTGACGGTATAGTCACTGTATCAGTGCGAAGTATCAACGTTCTTCGTCGCATGGCATAGGTACGTTGGGGCAACAATCCTATGTCCATGTTTAAATTGAATGCTGCGCTTATAACAAGCCGCATTCTTTATCAGCTGCCCCTGAGATCACCATCACCGAGCCAGTTCGAACGCCTAGAGGCAGTGCACAGAAAGCGTCTTTGCTTGGCGATGGGGGTGTCTCAGGCGGCTTCAAACGCGAAGGTCACCATTGAAGCCGAGTCTCTTCCGCTCCGCCATTTGGCGTCTCAGGCCTCATTGACGCAGCTGTCAATACTGGGCGAGTCCTTCGCAGACACAGCGCTTCTCCGGCGGCTAAGAGCAAGAACTGGCTCACATTTCAACGTGGCACTGAACACTTTTCGATAGTTAGGCTTGTAACTACCTGAACGACGCCCTTTGGACCCGCCATGGTTTTTTGTGGATGTTGCGTGTAACTTCAGCGTACCCAAGCTACCATCGAAGCGCACCATTAAGGCCGCGAAGCAAAATTTCTTGTGCTGTACCACTTGAGCACCTTGTACCGCGGCCACCTACAAGTGTATACCGATGGATCAGTATGCACACAAACGGATAGCTGCGCAGCGGCTTTCTGCATACCGTGCCTCGGCGTGTCATGGTCGGGCCGCCTGGATCGCGTGGTTTCGTTCATAACGGTAGAAAGCACTGCAATCATGGTGGCTTTGCGAAAATTGCGATCCTTTTCTGCACGAGATGTTGTAGTGCTGAAAGACTCCAAATCGGCGCTACAAAGACTGAATCGTGGCCCACCCCAAGAAAGGTTTACCAGGCAATCTCTGGAACTAAATAAACAACTAATTGGCAAAAGCTTTAATATAAAGTTTCAGTGGATCCCATCCCACGTTGGCATTGAAGGCAATGAAAAGGCTGATGCCTTTGCATGCGAAGCATGAACATCTGTTCCAGAAGTAAGAACTTCCAAGGCTTAACATAACAACAGAGATGTGATACGCAATCATTTCAAGGTGATCTACAAGTTTCCAACCAAGCATGTGTAATTCTTGAACTTTTTCGTGGACAAGCGATGCTGCTGTACCGCATAAGAACCGGCTCCGCATAAACCCCGGCCTAGTCACTCAAAACTGGGAGATACGCTATCCCGCTCAGTGCCTTCTGCGGTGACATCGAGAATATTGGACATTTAATTTGGCTTTGCCCACAGTTTGATGTGCAAATATCAGCGATGATCCGCACCTTGCAAAAAGGCTGCCTTAGGTACCAGACAGTTGATGGCGTCATTTTTCCTGAAAGACCCGCGGCAACTAAGAGGAACGTGCAACAATTTTGTTGGTCTTCCTGCGAGACACTGGGCTGTCTGACACGTGGTGACAAGCTTCCAAATTCATGAGATGCTCAGGCGGACCAATTGCCAGCCATGCTGGCCAGGCTAACCCCGCCTACTGCAACACCACCGCTATAACCACCAGCACATACACTGCGACAATGTGCAAGAATGAATACGCTATGAAGTTAAGGTTGCACCAATGAGTAATTATAAATAGTCAAACAATCCTTCGCTTCAGCTACGACAGACTGTGACAACAATCACTATTGACAGAGTACGACATGAATGTTGACATTCGCATTGCAAACGGCTTTTTCTTTTACAGCCTTTACGCTAGTGGAAAAAGCGGTGTGGAGCTTCCTGAAAGATTTGTTCCCCTGAATTTAATGACCTGAACTACATTACTATGACTGGCTACACAAGATGGTAGTTGAAGAGAGCCAATTCATTTTAAAAGGAAGCGCTTGTGAACGTCCTATTTACATTATGTTCATTGGCTCTCTCTTCAGGTTTCAAAAATTAAAATACGCAAAGTACAAAGGGAAGTGGCGACGTTTGTCACCTCCGCATCTCAAACTGAGTGGAGTCTTGTAAGATCAATGTACTTCACGCGGTTTAGTACCCATCGAGAGATTTCCCGATCAGGCTCTACACAGCAAAATTTCTCACTGGCCGAATCAAGGCAAAGGATTACGCAATTCAGTCTGAATTCTCTGAGGGTTACCCGTGTTGCGGGATCTCAACGCTCCAAAGAGGAGCTGTACAAAGCTCTAAAGAAGAGATGTACAAGGCTGCCCAGAAATTCAGAAAGAGAGTACCGAGGGATGACCTCCAGGCACTAACACAGAATTGGCTAACAGATAGCCGGAGTTCTACGTTATGGCACCTCGAGCTGCGCCCTTAAGACGTTAAAAAAGTTCTTGGTATTTTTGTACTTACCATTGTTTATTACAAGATTGAGCACGGCTGGAAACTCAGTTTTGCTGTAGTCCAAAGTGACATCAGTCCTACGGAGGAAATGCATTGATATTTATGTCAGAAGACGCATCGTGCAATCACGTAACTAGTACAAATTTCGCACTAACTCATGCAACACCGTAGCACACATACTGAAAGGTTAATAAAACAAGATCCAGGGGCATAAGCAGCACAATAATAATGCAGGAGCAATTATATCAACAGTCTCATAGTAGCATTGCCGTCGTCTTTGCTAGTATGTCCTGGTAGATTCCTTATATATAAGTAGGCCTCAAAATAAATGAGCACAATAAATAATCTGGAACACCCTCCTGGAGATTCGAATCACCACTATGATGACGCATTAGATAATTTTACCGCGCGCGTGGCATGCACTTGCTTAATAACGGTGGACTGTTAACATACACTATTTACCGCTGGCGGTACACAGTTCTCGGAAGAGCTTGGAAGAGCTCTGCTCTTCACAGTTCTCAGAAGACACAGTTCCTGAGTTCTGGAGACACAGTTCTTGAGACACAGTTCTCGAGACACAGTTCTTGAGTTGTTGAGACACAGTTCTTCACAGTTCTCGGAAGAGCTCTGCTCTGCAGCTTATCTTCGTTTCTTGTAAATTTGAAAACTATGCTTGAGACTCACACTAAAATGTCCTTTTTGTACCCGCTCACGTGATGAACAAGGAAACAGCCTCAATACCAACCTTGTATTAGACGCCACCGCGTTGCCAGATACGCAGAGAAGGCACTTCATAGGGAACAGCTTAAAAACAGAGACATCTAAAAGTGTCACTACATTCTGTAGAATGCACACTAGCAGCGTGCTGCTCAAAGACGTAACAACTGGTAAACTATTTATTTTGGGCTTGTTCTGTACGTTCCTTTCGAGTGCCCTTCTTTGTGCTTCTGCACAGCACTGCCAACTTCGGAATGATTCTTCGTGCACAATGATGAATTCTCTCAATTATATTTGTTGTTTCACCCTTGCGGCAAAACTGCGACATTCTTTGAGGCTTTCAGTATTGGGCAAGAAAGGAATAAAAGGGAGAACATTCTCTTAAGATAAAGAACAGATATATCCCTATTTATATGACACGAATACTTGGATAGAGTTCGTGGTTCGTGTTGTTGTAGTTCCTTGAACTCTACGTTATATCGGGTTGAATGCACTTTTACTTAGTTCCTGGCGTTTCTGTTTAGTCAAATACTTTGAAATGTAGAGTATTTCTTGGAAAAGTAAGGGCGAAATGACACTGTGGCAACGGACTCTGCGCGAATTCCTGCGCAGCTTCCACCTCAGTGTCTGTTGGCTCGTTATGCCATGCCTACACGCTGTATCGCCTTCGCATAAACGACCGCCTCGCCACAGCTTAAACAGAGATGAGTGTCGCTGGCGGTAATGGCTAAAAGAGCCTGCGATATGATCGCAAGAGCTTTCCTTTGCTATACAGATGAGTGTAGCGTCGGTATTCTCACCAACTTCTGCTACAAAGCGAATAAACAGTCGTTAGGTTTTCACGTTGCAATTCATCTTTCCGTCATCCAGTTCTCACAACACTATCTATCTATCTATCTATCTATCTATCTATCTATCTATCTATCTATCTATCTATCTATCTATCTATCTATCTATCTATCTATCTATCTATCTATATCTATCTATCTATCTATCTATCTATCTATCTATGCCTCTCTTAGGTTATCTCCTACACCGTTGCCTAAACCACCCTCTAGTAGCCACAAAGTAATGGGTGTCCCTGGTAAACGAACGTGGCAGGCTATTCAGTTAAATAAAATATATGATCTGCCTCATAATGGTTGACTGGAGGCAATAGGATGACCTAGACCAACCACTTTGGGATGAACTACACCCCCCATGCGTCGCGCCTGCAACAATTCTAGATGCGAAGCGTCTTATGGTCGAACTCGATATGATGTGACAACTATTACTGCTCATGCGCAGCCCTCCCTTCTTCTCCGACGCTATCTCCTCTTCGCTCTAACAATGCTGACACAGCCAGCGTCCGCTTGCAAATTTTTTTGCTAGAACCATCCAGCTGGCCTCGCTGCACTATTCACTATCCACCCGTATAAACAGACATTGGATCTTGATCTCCAAGGTTTCTCCAACATTTCTCCTGTGTATTGTTGAACAATAAATATTCGCAGCGTACCCGTTAATTAAAGCGCCCTGTGGGTTTCTGTGTCTTACTGTAGTCTTCTGCTTCCCATTGCTCATAGACGGCGATTCGCCTGTTAAAAACACTGGTCCATGATTGCGTGATTTGCGCCTGGCCAGGTTTTCCTCCTGCGCAACCCCGCGATGAGCGCCAGCGTGAATGCCACCGCCAGTGTAAACGTTAGCACCGGCTGTCTAGCATCTACACATGGCTCTCTTTAAAGCGATTTGGTGTAATTTTTCACTGCATGACTGTCCAAGGGCATGGACAATTTGGAGAGCCGCAGAAGGGCTTCTCTGCAGACTCTCCACAACAGTAGCTATTTGTCCGTTTATGTGTGGTTCTGTGCATAGCGCACAACACACTTACGCCTTCTAGACAGAAGGAGAGAGGGAGAGAATAAACTGTTATTGTGAGTGATTGCGCCGCGCAGCGCGATCACTGACAAAGCATTAGGGAGAAGACTCATACATATAAAATGATATAGGTGGCATTGTTTACGTGTCGTTTAGAAAATATTATGAATTAGTTCCTAGAAAAATTTGTACCTGGCGCAGAAGGTGAAATTCAGGCCCGCTTCAGGCCCGCTCCCGCTTCGTTTAAAAGTGCCTCAACTAGTCTACACGCGCTATTTTGACATATTGTTAGCTTCACGTGAACACTATCAAAAGGCCTATGTGTCACCCTGTTTATGCCTATGTGTGCTAATGTGAAAAAATATAAAGTAGTAAAAATTATTCAGCTTTTATGTTATAATATATACTATGGTGCCTCTAGTATATCATACCAAAAATGCATTTGTGATTAGAAGCGATGCCGAATTTACCGTGGCTGGCCTTTACCAAAATAATTCATAAAGCAGTATAGACGAGTCGCAGTTTTTTCATACTTCGTTAGCTTTAGTGGGGCCAGTATTGCCCAGGCGTGACGGCTGTATCAATAACAATGAGCGAAGAGCAGCATAAGTGCGTTTCTGAACCAATTACGTACCTCCCCTTGATGCTGCCTCTCTTTTGTGTTCCTCCAAACGAATCTTTAAACATCGGCCACTTGGCCAACGCAGACATAGCCACATGACAGGAGCAATATGAACACGACACCGGTTGCCCATTTGACAAGAGGGTAAATGTGTTTAGCACGATTCGTTTTACGTGCGAGCCACTTGGCTTTGGCTGCTATCATTATGTCTGATTCACTACGTACAGTGTTTTACTATATTTGTAGCCAAAAGAAACGACTAGACAGCGTGACAAAACAGTCATGTAGTAATTAAAACTCCATACTGGAAGGTGGGGCGATCGGCGAGTCAGCCACCAGTCTGTTTGCTTATCAAAGAAGGGGTATTCCTGTTTGACTAACCAGCCCCGCTGTAATTTTCGTTCTCACTCTTCCCTCGCATTTCAATCTTTATTTCCTCTTTGTTCATTCTGATGCATCTATCTTTCAGGTTTTATTGAATGTAAAAATTGATCGTTTTAGGTGAGAGGGGCGTACTACGTCTTGAGTATCTAGGCTGTACATGGTGTTTCAAGAAATGTGTCTAACCTACTCATAAATCAAGAAAACGCGATACTTGCTCGCCGCTTTTATCAATACATTTTCTATAGTTACAGACATCTGATAAGTGTTAAGGAAATAATTCTGACAATAAGTAGGAACAATAAATAACTCACTTGTTAATTAGAGCAGTCAGCTTGTTATGTGACAAGTCAGGATTAAAGCTCTTCATTCGAAGAACCCATTGAAGTTTTGAGATAGAGAAACAAGCCGTATTTTGCAAAACCGAATGTCGCGGGCACTTCCCGTGCAAAGGGGTTCAGCTTCGATGCAGGCGTATATATATCGCGTGCCGCTTGTGTGAGCAAGAAAAATTCTTATACGTTTCACACATGCACACTTTCGTCGCAAAAGATGCCTTTAAGCTAAGATTTCTATGCACATACTACTAAAGAAATGCGTCATTGCACAAATAGACTGAAAGTTAGCTACCAAAGCGGAACATGCAGGAGTCAGAGTGGCTGCAAAGAAAATATTAAAGGAACAATTGAGCAATAAAATGCGTTCCAGAAATGAGTTCTTTTCAGATATTCTTGAAGATATCTTTGCAGACGCTTCTTCGTTTATTCCTGTATACACTATTCTGCAAGTAGTTGGAATGAGGTAAATATCCGCGAAAGAAGAATAAGTGGCGCATTCACACGAGTATTCAGAAACACGTAATAACGTTGTATACGGCAATCTAAGCATTACTCAATATTTGCCGGGGCACTTGTAATGCAGATGACCTAAAAGAGGATACACGTGCCGCATCAGAGTTTTCCACAGTATAAAGCAAAAAGGCAGTCATTCGCCGCATCGTAACAGGCACAAAATTAACTCCCGTACTTCTCTCCTCCTCCGACGCCAGGCACATGCAAGGTGTATTGCACTTCTCCCTTCTCCTCGCTGTAGTAGGTAAGGTCAGCCGTCGAGCACAAAAGCTCCGAGCCAACGTCACCCGAAGAAAACGCTGCATATGTGTGAGGCAATCTGTGAATCACCTGCAACGATAACGAAGTTACTCGTTGGCGTAACAAAATAAGCTACACACAGAATCTGCCTTTTGAATTTTTTAAAAGATACCGAGAGTAGTTTTGTTGTAAAAAATATTTGGCTGTTGTATCAGCTGAAACGGTGTTTTGGGGCTGCACCAGCATGGTTACGTTTTGTGTTATTTATTTATTAGTTTTCATTCAAAGAACCTAACGGCCTGTTAGAGACATTACCCAAGGAGGAAGCATGAACCAAATATGAAATTCATAGACGAAACATTGTTGCAGGTGGCTAATGCAGCCATGTGGCAGATACATTCATGAAACAACGACCCGCCAAATATTATTACACAAGCCTACAACCAATCAACCAAATGCCTATGTCAATAATTATAGTGAATTCTTTCCCGTATGGAAAGGCGTTGGTGTAGGTCTTTCTTATGACTAGGATAAAAATTTGATTGTATCAGCCAACTTTGAGTTGGTCTAAACAATTGCAAATAATCACTTTTAAAGTTTTCCAGAAACTGTTGTTATTTGAACTTCATTGTTACATGTGGCACGCTATTGCACTGCAAGTTAATCATATTTTCTTCAAAATGAACTAGTTGAGAATGTAGCGGTTGTATGTCTTTTCTTTAATCTTGTGCGTTGTCTCCGGGTGCTCTTCAAAAGTAATTATGACAGATGTATAAATACGTTAGCAATGCTGAATGAAAAAAATGCAGGACTGTGTAGTTAATGCAGTTTCCGAGTTGTTAAATCGTCGTTTTATTGGCAATCCTAAAGGTGAATTCTTGTACGTTTCCAATCCACTATCCCGACAACCAGACAAAACCACAGTGGACGGTGGACTCTGGGGTTTCAAGAAGTCGTCACTACTTGTTGCTTCGAAGTACGGTCTAACAATTACACACCATTCTCCCGTACCCCCTTAGTCACGGCGTCTACACTTATGGGCACGAATATAAAAGGGCATCACACGCCACCTAGTTCTTTAAATAGCTTGAAACTCGGTGCACGCACTCCTGAAGGCTTCGTGAGTCGACAACTAGCAGTCATTGAATTAGTTTGTGCTGCGTATTTCTGTAGAAGATTACTTTTCTGAAGCCACCACCATGTTTGACGATTGGTAAACGTGCCGCGGGTCAGGACCAATGTGAAAACTGTTTTTGGCCTGCTCAAAATGAATATAACCAAAAACTAAACTCTGCTTGCATTTCAGGCCTAGAAAGAAATTCATTTTATGCAAGTACTGAAGCTGGCTGATCACAGCATAATCAGAAAATACGCTGCCACACACAACTTCATTTCGAGAAAGTTGCGCAACACAACAGAATAATTCATTTTCTTTTTTTTCAATTAACCGTTGAGTCCGTTGAAATGATGCCTCGTGGATTTCACGTGTTTCTGACAATAGCATCCTAATGCATATCTGAAGGGGCTACGGCAAACCATGCTGGCTGGCGAAAGCATCCGGGGGGGTGGGCTGCTAATCAAATTTTCGTTTTGTTTCTCTTGGCAACACAACCCAATAAAAGTTACAGTGAGAGAGTGTACTGAGAATAGGCGTTTTTACGGGGTTGTTGCGTCTTTATATAGATATCACACGTGATACCTCGCTTAGATGCATGCAGTATATTGAATACAATAGGCTTGGTGGTCGGTGAAGTGTAGCGTGAATGGGTCTTGCTGTAGGAGACTCGTTCAAGTTTAAGCCTCGTCGTCTTCGTGCGATACAAAAATGAACAAGCCGTACCCGAGATACAGACAAAAGCTGCCAAGATACATAGCTGTTGCATGCCTTACTCGGCGCCGCAACACTTTCGTCGCCCTCTGGCGTACCCTTAGAGATAGAGTGATAGAGAGATATTTATATGCAATGATTTGCTGCACCGTACCTATGGCGGAGTGGGGTGAAGGGAAGGAGGAGAGCACCAACCTGCGTAGGAAATAAGCATGAGAGAGAGTTGCGCATGTGCGGTATTGCTGTCGAAGCCCCAGAACGAGCACTATCCCCAGCATAATAACATTCCACTCATCCCTATCGGGGTGCTGTCTTTGGTGCGACCATTTTCAGCAGCAAACGCACAGCGCGTTTAGTACAATGCCAATGAGGGTTGGGGGCAACACCACAAAGCGTTTAAGAGTAAGAGAGGGGGGCTGAAAAAATAGAAAAGACGTTACTTGTGCAACCCCAATTGGGAGATACAGCTTCGTAGAGCGACCGTTCCAGAGAGAGTGAGAGTGTTATGTGCAAGGACTTGCTGTACTGCCCCTATTTTGGAGAGGTGCAGAGGGAGGAGCCGAGTCCCCGCCTGCGTAGGTAAGGATAATGAGGGAGAGTAGCAGATGAGCAGTATGGCTGTAAAAAGGCCGCTGAACGAAGGCTGCCCCGAGCCGAAGAGTACACCGATCACGAAGGCTATGCTGTTTTTTACGCAATCATGTTTAGCACTAAGCGCACAATTTGGTGATTTGCCCGAACGACTTTGATACAACGCCATAGGGGGACCATTAGAGAGAAAAGGAGAGAGTGAAAAAAGTTTGTGTGCCCCGGCCAGCTGCACCGCACCTGCTGGCGGAGAGAGGAAGATGGTAGGAGAGCTGAACACCTGAATAAAAGAGAATGAGGAAAATTGCGATAATGTTGATGATATGCGAATTTTCATGGCACAGGGGCCACGCTTGGTCAAACGGCAACGTAACGAACGCTAAAAATATTACACTGGGCTGAAATTTGTGATTCTTTATGAGAGATGTAAACTATTGTAATGTTACATGGCTGTATATCAGCCTATAATTCCGCACCTTAATGTGCGTTAGAACCTAAATGTAGTAAAACATAGGGGTGACGTGAAATGTGTCCAGGTAGAAGTTAATATATGGCAGTGTTCGTAATGATGGTCGCCGCAGCCATGACCTCTATACTGAGGCTGAGCGACAAGTCACCACGGAACATGGGGCGAAATCCATGCACATCTTTTGAAAACGTGAAGCGTCATTGAGGATATACAAGCGCATCTCTAATGATGAGCGTGACAGAAGGCAATGGAAGCTGCTTTCGCTAGAGCAATAAAATGTGTTTTTCCACGCCGTGGTGATGAAATGGCTAAGGTACTCGGCTACCAGCCCACAGGTCGTGGCAATTGAATACCAGTAGCTGCGGCTAAATTTTTGATGAAGTAAAAAATGCTAAATGCCCATAGTGCTCAGAATTGGTTGCACGTTATTGAACCCTAGGCGTGAAAATTTCCGGAACCCTCCACTGGGCATCACTCATAACTATATGATGGTTTTCGTACGTTATTCCCCACATATAAATCAATAAAAAGTGTTTTTTTCTCAGAGCATCTAACGCCTTGCGATGAACGCGGCTGTGGCGAACCACGAGTGGTTTTTCGCATCTTTCACAGATGGGTTGTTTACAAAAAAGCAAGGAGTATGCATTTGTGCTGGTGTTTCCTATTGGTAGCCTGGTAAGTGTTAATAAGAATGGCTTAGAGCACATTTGACAGGCACTATCAAATCATGACTGGTAGATTGGCACCATCCCTCAGAATAAGGTACATAACAGCTGTATTTTACCGGTACTTAGCTATGTAGCAGAAACCTGGAGACTTACAAAGGGGGTTCAGCTTAAATTGAGGATGACGAAGCGAGTGATGGAAAGGAAACTGATAGGTGTAACTTTAAGAGACAAGTAAAGAGCAGAGTGGGTCAAGGAACAAACCGGGATTCAGGATATCATAGTTGAAATCGAGAAGAGTAAATGAACATGGGTCCGGGCATGTAGCGCGTAGGCGCAATAACCGCTGGTCATTAAGGGTAACTGACTGGATTCCGAGAAAAGGTACTCGGGTTAGGGGGATATAGAAAGTTAGGTGGGCAGATGAGATTAAGAAGTTTGTAGGTGGCAGCAGCAAGCAGAAGCCGTGTTTACTGGCAGAACATGGGAGAGGCCTTTGTTCTGCATTGGACGTAGTCAGGCTGATGATGATAATGAAGTGTTAGTTGTGTGTAGTGGGATTTGGATAGAGTTGACCAATTCGGAAGTCTTTGTTTGATAATATGCAATTTGGTTTCAGTTTGCATATCCCATGGGCGCTGCCAGCCCGCCCTTAGCCTCCGTATAGCGAAAATTCTTAGGTCAAATGCAGGGACAGCTATTAATCTATTGGTGGCCACGTTGGCATAGGCGTATGTGGCTACTTGGTGCGCCAACATGTTTCTTCTTAACTCGCGGAGCCTGGGCACCTAGTGGAGTACATCATGTCACTTGAAAGCGCAGATCATGCACAAAAGAGATTATGGTGACACCACGACAAGGTTATTATGTTACTTCAGTGTTTTGAAAGTTGATACCACATTCCACAAATCTATGCATACAACCGGACATTATAGTTCCAATTTCTTAATATTCTTGACGACCACATATATTGCATGAGTTTCTGCAGTGAATAGGCTTGTTTTATAGTGCAAAATACCAGAATTCGCAAGAGATGGGTCAACAGATGCGTGAGACTTCGAAGCATTTGTAAAATATTCTGGGCTAGTGTACTTGTGTGGAAGTTCGAGGAAGTGCGTGCAGATATGTGCAATAGTGTGCTGGTTTAGTAATTTTTACGTGAGATCGGAATGGAATTCGGAGAAAAATTTTGGAGGCAGAATAGGGCAGATTTTACCGATGCCACTCAGTTCATATCTCTGCGATGCACCATGTCGCAATATTCGCGTTTACTTGCATTATTAGCGGGTAATTCTGTAAAGTAGCTCCTAACATATTACTAGAGGGGTGCTTAGCTCTATTATGAAAAAGGTTACCAAAGTAGATTTGAAGAAATTTTGTCGAATTACAAGCCGAAATAACCCTTCTTCATTGGGTGGATTGTGGAATCGAGAAGAAATTGTACAGAAAGGTTTACTTGAGGTGCAGGACACCTATAGGCGAAATACAACGAAAAAATAATAAACCAGTCAGTCAGTAAGCGATGAAACATTAGTTGGTTCTTAAATAAATACAGAGTTAGTGTTGCGGGCCAGGCCCACGTTGGGGCTGAATGATCATGGCTGTCCGCCCATTCGCGGGCCCTTTGCACAGCCCTTAGTTGTTTATGCAGACAACCACTTCTAAGGGCTTCCTCTCAGTCTTCTTCTTTCTTGAAGGATGCATGCTGTAACGCCAAACATTGCCAGAGCATGTGAATTAACGAGCAATACTTTTCATGGCTCTCAGTGTAGTATGAATCATTGTCTGCCCCACCGCGGTGGTCTAGTGGCTAAAGGACTCGGCTGCTGACCCGCAAGTCGCGGAATTGAATCCCGGCTACGGCGGCTGCATTTCTGATGGAGGCGGAAAGGCTGTAGGACCGTGTGCTCAGATTTGGGCACATGTTAAAAAAACCCAGGTGGTCGAAATTTCCGGAACCCCCCACTACGGCGTTTTTCATAATCATATGGTGGTTTTGGTACGTTAAATCCCCACAAATTCCAATCAATGTCTGAAGCAAAGTGACTGAGCCATCCTCTCAACGAGAATTAAACAGTTTGTAACAATCTAAGGATAGAAGATTGATGTCTAGTGAGCTTTGGGTGCTGGAGCGAGAATTTTCTACCTCAAAGCTGGTAGTCTTTTACAGTTACGTGAAAAGAAAGTAACGGGTTATAGTTATGCTCTCAACTCATATTGTCCAGCGCATCGGGACCATCGCACAACGTCTGACCTCGCACATGGTTGTAATAAACCAGGTTGCGCGATGCATGTTTTTCGTCCCTGATCTCGAACACACTTTTGTTTCTTTGTTTTTTTCCTACAATATCTGGCGAGTACCCACTATGAGGAACTGGCAACAAACGCGACGTTGAGACTTTTAAATTCTAGCTTTAGGATTGTAGGTCATTTCAAAACTAATGACATGAAATGATTATAATACGTAAGGTATGAAATTCAACCTACAAGTATTTTGCTTTTGAGCCTGTATTACTGACTACAGTGAAACATCACTCGCGATGTTTCGTGGTTGTCGCCACTGGCACATACGGGCGGCTATACCAAGTAATGCGTCATTGCCTGCATTTTGATGAAAACTGTAATAACAGAACGTTACCTCGAACCCATCGGTGTCGTAAACGTCACATTGTTTTTTTCCAACAGTTGACCCCAGTAGTACAGCTGCGATTAATACTGGTGCCGTCAACATAGCCATCATAATTTCAAGGCAGCCGATGTACAGCGTCAAGCTTGCCGTGGTGAGACGAGATTGAGTGAGCACTAGCGTGGCTATATATACAGAAATGAGGCACAGAAGTTTTTTTTTCTTCTCGACTACCAATCACCAAATGGAGCTAAAACCAGCTGTGTTTGGTTGACTATGCTAATGAATGCATACAGAGGTACACATGGGAGCAATATGTTTTATGCAGTTTTGTAGCGCAGACAATTGCCAAGCTAAAGTTTTGTCTATGTTGCTGGCGAATAGGTATTGCACGTAGAAACAGCGGGGACAATATTAACATTGCAAATTGGCGTGGACGTTCTTCACAGGGCATATTATCTACATAGAGAGACTCGATTTAATTCTCTGAGTTGCCAGTTGACAGGAGAGGTTCATCGTCGGCTAAGTCTTTCTGAATGAGACCTCGGAAATTTTTTTACAGCCACAGGTTTAAACACAATATAACTTAGATAATAAGAAAGCAAATGTAGATAAATATACAAAAAATAACCGTACACTTTTTCTAATTTAAGCCCACTATACAGTGTCACTTGTGACTCTGCACCTACCGTATTGCGTAGTCGGTGGTTTTGGGACTTTAAACCCCACATATCAATTAATCAGTGCTGTGTAGTAGCACTAAGCTTTGATGGCGCAAACGCAAGCTGCATGCTCGAAAAAAAAAAACAGGGCAAGATAGTGTGCATAGAGACTGTATCAGGGTGCCTAAAAATTGTTGTATATCGTGGACAACGTACACAGTGCCTCTAAGGAAGATATTTAATGTAGAGAAAATCACAAATACCATACATTCTACAACTATTATGAATAAATCAAAGGCAGACGCTACGTGATCTTGCATACTGGAGGGCAAACCATCTTGATAACCTACAAAGCTTCTAGAAGACCGCAAGATTATAACTGAACGCAGGACGAAGTTGGTTGACGTGCGCTGAGTTTTCGAGCTACGCAGTTATCACTTACGGATCTCATACCGCAGCATGGCGGCAAATATTAGTGTAGTTGCGAAAAGAGCATGCCTCGTTGAGTGCGCTTTGCTGAATCAGCACTCCGCGAAAGGAGTTCCACTCGCAGAAGAGTAAAATCCTGCTAAGGTACTGCACAGAAACAGACTTTGATGGCCGAGTGCAAATCCAACGAGTTCTCGACCACGCACCACATTCTAGAAAGTGTCAACATTGCATTCAAGCAGGCTAAAACGTTGCTTCATCCCACCCCGCTTTTTTTGCATTGGCTTGCTTCGCTTGAGCGGCATAAAGGTATGCCATTATTAGTGCTCGACATTTGCGTTGCAGCAGTGAAGCTGTTTAGGCATCCGTAAAAAAACTTAGGTGTGTTCATAAAACGCCCCAAAGCGCCTCGCGTTGCATTAGCAACCAGTCACACCACGGCTACGCCGCACCTACTCTGCGACACCGGCATGCGCTATGCCAGTTCCTTCTTCCGTGGAACCACCGACCTAATGGAGAGCCCTAGGACACCATTGATCATATTCTTCAGAATTATCAATAAAGTTCTGGTCACGTCACTTCACAAATTCGTCGTATGAAAAGATTGAAACCCGCGTAGCCACAATGCGAAGAAAAGCATCTTGACTACTCTCATAGCCAGGCGTGGTAGTAAAGCGTAATATAGCCTTGTATAGTACTGCACAGAAAGGAGTAAGAAAGGGAAGTGAGGTTGAGGAGGAGATATTTGCTGGTGAGGAGGAGGTATACATTACATCATACTTCAGAAAAAGAAAATAGACAGAACAAGCAAAAAATAAGGAAAAATGAAAGAAATAAATATTCTGAGACACTGACAGACAAAAAGAGATTAGATGAAAGAAATATACTGAAAAAAAGTCAGATATACAGAAAGACAGAAAGAAATGAAAGCCAGAAAGATCGGAGAAAGGAAAAGAATTATACATGGGAGACGAAAGAAAGAAATAGAAAAAAGTGAGATTTAAATAGAAAAAAAGAAAAAGGAACACAAAAATATATTGACCAGAGGAAAAGAAAAAAAAAGGGTGCAGCGGAGTATACAGTTATTTTGCATATTTCCTAGCAACGTTACTTATTTTTTGACAGATTTACCCTAACGATGTCCCACAAAAAGCGGCTCTCTTCCTACTTAGCCTCACGTGGCCCGAGCCTCACGTGGCCCGAGGGACCCAAAGTACACTTCTTGTAAGTGCACTTGACTTACCCCCTTGACAGAGGAGGGTCACATAGCGAAGCAAGTACAGGTAACTTGGTGCGTGTGGATGGCACAGCTTGGATATTTCTTGTTTCACAGTATATATTGAATTTTCTGAGGAAAAAGCCTGAGGTTTTCTGGAGTAACGTAGCCTTTGCATCACTAAAGAGAAATTGAGCGCACAACCAGTGGTCTTTCAAGAGCCTTACATTTGATTATTACAAGCGCCCAAATAATGTCCCAGTCGGGCAGGGGGGCGGGCGTCACAATCTTACGCAGCCAGTATATTAGTGAGCACTTTATCAGTGTATTTAGTCATGCCGTTCGCTCTGGACCTTAGCGCATGGTTGGCTTTTTTGTCTTGCGAAAGTAAAGTATGTGTGCGATCACTTTCAGTGAGTACGTCCTGCTGCGCTTCTTTTGTAACAATTTTGTAACGTGGTAGGTTACGACGTAATTAAGCGTTCTTGGCTAAGTCGCACAAAAAATGAAACCGCAGATCACGTCGTACAAGCAGGTAGCAGTACGTGATTTACTTTGTTACAGGAGTTTATGCGAAAAACCATGAATTCGAGACGGGTCTCACGGAACGCGTTTCAAGGAGTGTACAAAGGCTGAAAGTGATCTGTAGGCGGTCATTCCGGTTTATCAGGTAGCTTAGAAACCTCTGTTGAGCCGATGTTATGCTGTACTACGCGTAACAGATATACCAGTTCAACAAAACTCACCGCAAGCGAGGTCTTTCTCGCGTTACAAGTTGGGTGTTTCATACCTGAGCGTCACCACGATAACTCAGGACAGAAAAGAAGACATACGCCAGATTGACGAAAAATAATGTAAGGAGCTGCAGAGAGTTCTTCGCACCTGTGACAGTGGACGATTTTATTTTTGAGTGCAAAAAGTGGGAAAATACGTCTGAGCGTATAGAGTTCGAATTGACCACAGATTAAAACTGAGTGGCTTGAAAATAACATAAGTCGTAGGCTAAGCCCCCAAACAGACGTCCAAATGCTGTGGTTTCATTAGTGCTTCGAGATGAATTTAAAACATCAGTGTGAAGGACTGTTGACTTGCTCTCAAGATTATATTTTATGAATTCTAATGGAATGCTACTCACAGAACCTAAAGGTTCTTCATATTTTCATAATAAACATGTGCCCTGAAGGAAGAGTCGCGCCGTCATAGAAGGGAGACAAGCGTCATGTCTCTTCACCGCCTAGAGAAGCGTAGATTTTGCCTGCACCAATACAAACGCCGGAATCTGAGTGAATCTTGCACAAACTGGGTAGCGGGCTGCAAGTAAACGAGCAGAAAGATATCAAGACCTCGTTCTTAGCCAGATAGCAGGGTGAGGACTACATGAATTTTGAGATCATGATACAGTAAAAAAAATCACAGCAAACCCACTGAGTGCATGATAACGAGTGAGGTGAAGCAGCGTTTCTTCGTTCGTTCTTGCTTTTAAGCGTCACTTCGTCCGTCTTAGCGATCATCCATGCGTCCACCCGTCCGTTCATCAGTCCACGCGCCCATACATCCGTCTGTTCATACGTGGGTCCATCCATACATGCGTTCATCCGTCCGTATATCAATCTGTGCATTCCTTCGTGCGTCTGTCTGCCTATATGTCGTCTATTCGTCCATCCATCTACTACCAAGTAGCACGATCTCGCATCTTTACATCATTATTTCAGCCAATAGAAGTACCGCCACCCAGAGGACATTCCAAGGAGTTAACGAGAATCGGCGCTTGCGCACATTTTTACGGCGCGCGTCTTGTGCCTACTTCCCACCTTTCACCGCCTCTAGTTCATGGCTATATGCTAGTTCACTATATTGATGGCCCTGTAGCACCACCTTCGCTAAACCTGTCTAGAAAAAATTATTGCCACAGACGTCAATAACACTTCAACAGAACATTTTCTTCTTAGACTTACAATAACAATGATGACAAAAGCTTCATTGACATAAACATGGATATAAGGTGACGTGGAAAGAGTGACAATTTTTATGAAATGTAAACGGCGACGCCTGGCCTGTGCGCTCCGGTGACTGCTCGCAGCGAATTCAAGCAGGAGATATAGCAACCACACTCTCTGTTCGCGTCATCTCGCAGCGAGAAAAACAACCATTCGTTGCTGATATAGAACCGCAATCTTGCAAACCCCTCCCCTTTCAAGGAGATCACCAGCTCTTGCGTAATTGCTTTGAAGGGGAAGGGGGTCACCATCTCACAGCTGGTTTCATATCAGCAACAAATGGTTGTTTTTCTCGCCACGAGACGACACGAAATGCGACTGTGGTTTGTCTTGATTCCACTTGAACGCGCTGCCAGAAGCCGCCGTAATGCGCAGGCCACGCGTCGCCGTGTTCCCGTTCATAAAAATTCACACTGTACATTCAATGATTCACACAAACAGAGCCACACAAAAATATGTCACAGAAGAATAGATACACATGAATTATGCAAGGTAGACAAGAGGCACAAATAAGACATCATTATGTACATTTATCATGTTTACATGCTGGCATGTCATTTTTTCTGGCGCATCAACACTGCAGCCTGCCAATACCAGGCTGGCCGAAATACAAATTTCACTCGCCCGTAACAGACCGAAACAAAAGGTCAAGACTTGTGCCGAATGAATTCCTCTTCACAGAGGAAGAAAAATTTCTCCGACGAAACAGACAGCAGCTCTAAGTACAATAGTTCTAGGATCGGGAAGAGGGCGTGTCGGCGGCGGCCCGATGCAACCGCCTTGCCGGGGTTGCGCCAGAGGTAGAAAGAGCCGGCAACAATGAGAAGACAAGTGAAGCGGCCTCGAGAACAAC